GTTAAAACAAACAAATTAACCAAGAATCGGGTACTTTTCATGGACCACCTAACTAGCATGACGCATTTTGGACATGTTTGAAGAATATACGAACTGGATGAGAACTCGTAATTTAACTATCTGTGTACTGTGGGCTACTGGAAAATACCGTTTTATATTGCCAAAGAGGTAAGGGGCCATACAGCTGCGAACTGCAGCAAGCCCTCGAGACTTAATATTTTGAACTCCCACATCTGGAGAAAAATCAGGATACGATTTAACGCTTATTCCAACGTTGTAAAAGTTAAATTCAAAACAATGGAGATAGGTGTTTTGGGATGTGCTTTGACAAGCAGCGAAATGCAAAGGTGAAGAACAAATTAGTCGCGGTCTTCGGTGGGTGCTTCTTCCCTGAGTTTAATCAGGTCATCAATGCGTAAAATTGTGATGGCGGCTTCAGTAGCGAACTTCAGGCTCTTTATTTTTGAAACAAGCGGCTCAAAGATGCCAAGGTCCTTGCAGTTTGCGATGCAATTCCTCGTCAAGTCCAGTCCCCAGCTGAAGGAGAACACACAGTTAGTAATTCACAGAAAATTTGGATTACTTAGAGCCTGTTTATGTTACATAAGCAACTCGTAAAGTACAACATGCACAAAAACAGTTTACTAAATGTTAGTAAGACTCGACTCATTCATTCAAGTTAATTAAGAAAAACTCGGTACTTTGTAAAATCTAGTAGAAACAGTGTTTCGCGAAAGCGGACACCGCCGAGCTATATGGGGAGTCCTGGTAATATTTACAAAATGTTAAAACACAAATCGTCCAGGCGACTTTATGTTCCATTTCATAATTCCGGTATTTAGACTTTCTGCAGCCTTCTACGTAAAGGTCGAAGGATACTAAATAAGTTATTAAGATATTAAATTACGACATGCAATTTATATTAGACTTGCGGGTGCCTTAGAAAATTACTCGTTGATCCTAGTTGCTTCAGAGATCGGAAAACCCAGTGTATGGAAAGCTTTAAACGTAGTAAGACGTCCAAAACGCGAAGCTAAGCTAAATTCGAAACTCCTGCTTTAATAAACTTTTATAACCTACTTTCGTGAATTCGCAAGCGCATTGGAAACGTTTTACCGTGAGGTCAATTTCACAAATGCAGTGTTTTATTATAAGAAACGAAGGAAGCCTTAAAAACTACTCAAACAATAAATTACCATTGGCAAGAGCACGTGAACTGTCCATTTCGCTGTATCCTATTTTTGGCAATGTTTCGCGTCAAAATTTGACGGTTTGAAAAAAAGATGTCAGACCATGATTTGAGAGCACTTACAACTTGGTGTCCGCAAGCTCAGACTTCAACTGGCTAGTGTTGTGGCAGGCACGCAGGCGCGATACGAGGTCCGTGCTATCCAAAGCAGCGTTGACAGATAACTGTTTAGGAATCACCAGCATGGCACGGGCAAATTCGGCGACTGCTAACTGCTCTCTGGAACCCATCGTCATAGCGAAGTTTTCTAGAAAGATCGAGACAGCCGCTTCGCAGGCCCCCGCACCTGGCACAATGCACTTGCTTTCCAGAACCCGTTTGACCACCTGCAAGTTTATAATGACGAGTGGTACAATAAGGGGCACAATCTAAATTATCAAAAAATCCTATAATAAAAGGAAATGGGAAGACATTGCAAGTACGGAAATTACCTGAAGAGCATCGTGCAAAGAGCGCTCCATCTCATCCACGTAAAAGTCATTAGCTCCTCTTAAAATTATACTGGCCGACGAACGTGCCTTCGGGTCGTGAATGAGGATAAGCTCGTCGTCACAAATGCGTTCTTGAACAATCTCACCGGCCTAAAAAAAGATACATTTTAGCAAATTTTACTAAATGTAGGCTAGAAATTTTGAAATCACATAACTGAAAAAAAGCGGCGCAATAATTGCAGCAAACTCTAGGCAAGTTACATGCAAACATGAAGAATATTGACCAAGATGACCAAACAGCGTCAACTCCAAGTTCGTCTACCAGGCCTTTTCTTTGCGGACTGGGAGCAATGTGACTATCTCGGAGTCAAGCTCTTCAGGAGAACAAAACTTGTCTTTTATCCTCAACTTGACCGGCAACGTATGCTGCTATTCACCGGTTAGACATCTGATTCCAAGGATGCAGGCTTAAGGTAAATATCAGGCGCTCTCGAGCATTGGCTGCTGGGTGGCGGAAAGAAGTCGAAAAACCACATTTACTTCTTAATCACCTCCCGCCTTATTTGTGTGCGCGCAAGTTTGATTTAGACTGCATAAATTTATTTTAGCGAGCGTTCCGCCTTGGCAGAGGCGAGACATCCTACTGCAGGAACATTAGATTACGAAAAAAATAAGCTTAGATAATCATTGTAACCCTACCTCCCCCAAAAATGAAGATTCAAAGGTTTCTTCGCCGTCCATGTTCGATAAAGTGACGACGAGTTGGCCGCCAGTAGCTTTGGCTATCCGCTTAAGGTCTACACGCTTGCAACGGCGAACCGCCATAGCACCGGCTTCCACGAAGTATTTCATGCACAAGTCATCGATTCCACCCGTGGTAAGAATGACATTGGCGCCCGCTTGGAGGATCTTCTGTATTCTCTCCTTGGTTATGTCAGCTTCGCGATTGCGGATTTCCTCCAGCTTGTCTGGGTTATTGACCAAAACCTAGAGGCAGGGCATCAGTCTTCAAATTCCACAAGAGCTTACCTGAACGCCGAGCTTTAGTTTAACCTTTTGCAAATTGAAGTCCAGGAAGGCAATTTTAGCATTCTTTATCTGCTTTGGCATCTGCTGAGAAGCAACAGTGCAGTTAAGTGCATATCCGTTAACAAGCATGCTCTCTCTCATTGAACGTCCATGCGCTTTCAAAATATTGATAGCTTTTGTAGGATACAGGAAGCCACCATGTCCATCGGAAATCTTTACGGCCAGTGCCGCGTCGACTGCCATATTTGCAAAGAAGTCGGCGTCTCTACAAGATAGAAAAACATGCGGTTATGCACAAAAACGTACAGTGGACTCTCGTTGTTGAAGATGGTTTTATGCAGGACGTTTATTTGTGATATTATTTTGATATGCCCACATTTTCACACCGCATTTTCCAATAGAAAAAAAATTGACTGCTAAGAAATAGACACGATCGCTGGGACAAGTGTAGTTACCTCATGTGTCGGAATAACGCTCCGAACGTCGGGTGAATACAGTTATTGTCCCGGCGGTCGCGTCTATTTCTTCTCAGTTACATCCTAAGACTCGCAATTTCGTCGCAACAGTAACGGTGATGACTTGATGATCACTACTGACATGCGAAGAAACTCAACACGGAAACCGCTTGAAAACAGGCGCCAATAAGTGAATGAAACTCCCCTAGTAACAAGCAAAGGATAGCGAACGACAATAAGCCAATGCCGGCAAGCAGTGATTTGTCTCCCATTCCTCAGTTTTTTTTTCTGTGACCGTAGTCGACAGTACCGATTTAACCGTCTCCTAGTTAACCACATAACGGAGAGTCCTCCACCGCAGTCCACCGGAGCAAAACCGATTCGGTAGGAGTGAAAGCCAAGAGGACCGAAAACTACAGATGGAGTCTGTGCATCCACTTGGTCACCGCGATGTTGTTAATCGCAGCCAAGATCAGGAGATTAAATAACGGATTATTCCGCATCCTAATCGGCACCACATGACTGAGTTTTCGAGAATGAAAACGAATTTGATAGAAAGGAATATATTGCTTACATATGTAAAGCGCTTTGGGCGGGTATGCCGATATCCTTGGTGAAGAACATTTCATTTCATTTCATCAAGGTTTCGGGCTCTGGTATTGCATACTTCCCTAGGTGTCAGTCAGCAAAACGAAGCCGATATCGACGTACGTTGTACCGGTGAAATAACAAAGCCGTCACCGGACTTTGCAACATCGTATAAAATAAAAGTTTGGCAGACCTCAAAAAATAGCATCCAGCTTCCACTACTGCAATTGGCATGCACTAGAAATAATGCTAACTCTGTAGCTAGAAGACGAAAGAGACCATTTTTAAAATCTGGCAGCGGGTCTGAAAGGCTACACCCATTCTCTTCTCTTCTCCGAAAACTGAAGGTCTAAGAACCGTTCCCATGTCTTGACCAACGGTATCGAACCAATTCTTGGGTTACCCTCTTCTTCGACACGTCCATGTGGGCTGCGTCACCAAATCGAGGGTAGCATAACAAAGCTTGTGAGGCAGACGATGGCGAACGTGCAAAAAGCACATTAGACATCTTTCTTGGATGGCCTGAGATATCCTCGCGATACTGTCGTAGTGGGTGCAGGCGGTCTTATTTGAGACGAAGTCGGTATACTTTACTCAAAGGACGGTCCTTAGTGATGGTCAAAAGCCCCCAGCCTTCGTTCATCTTCAACTGGCAAAGCCCAGCATTCACATCCATAAAGTACCGACCGGACGGATGCAAAGTACATACGGATCTCGATGGTAATAGAGATAACACGTAGGATCCATAAACGTCTTCGGAGGATTGAGAAAACCCGAAAACCGATTTGAGCGAATATGTTATCATTACTCAGTTCGTTCGGCAGCAGCCTGGACCCAAGGTATTTAAAGCCACACGGATTGTTTGTTCGAGGTTTCCTCCTTTAGAAATTTGGCTCAATAACTTAACCACATGGTGGCGGTGGCAAGCAAACCTATTTAATGACGGTTCATGATGAACACGTCACACTGCCGTCATTGTAACTTGCGGCAGTTTATAAGACAGTTGGTGCGCCAGACCTCAACCCCCCGCGCACTAGTAGTACTGTCGTGGCTGGCCCGCGACCGCTTATTCGCCAGATCCAGGAGCCTGCTTATTTTACAGATAGTCTTCGCTGAAATCCGTTCAACCACCCACTACCTGTGGACGGCCAGGAAGTCAACAGCTAGACTAAAAGGGAATTCCGCTATGGTTGGCGACCGTGTCGCTCACCACGAAGTCCTCGTAGATTCCGTAGTAAATAAGTAAACTTGGCCTCGGGGGCTCACGATAGGCCGGCCACAACAGAAAACAATCTTCAGTTATATTAGAAGGCCCCAAAAGGAGACCGGATGGACCCGTTATGA